GGCTCTCGTCTAGTTGTGGAATAGTTATACATTTAGGGATATATGCTTATTCACGTATTTGCTGAGCGTTAGATGAAAAGATGTTATACACTAAATATGAAGCCTCTACCTCTAAAATTCCACAACTTGTTTGCATAAAAACAACAAAACATAATTCGGTCTTCGGTCTGTACAAATTACAACAAACCCTTATTTGTGTAATTGTTTAAAAAAGTTTATCTATTCCTTTTGACTGTTTGAGTCCCAAAGAGGTAAAATGATCCAATATTTCCCAGAAACTGAAGATTGGAGACAAAAGACTAATATAAATGTAGCACAACTTTGTTTTTTCTTATTTCCCCTTGCTCATCTAAAGACCCCTAAGATTTATCTTCTTTATCTATTTTTGACAGAACTCTGGTACCAGATGTTTTTGCCTCCAGGATTTGATGATTCCAAGAAGTACCCTTTACTAATAGATGTGTAAGGATTTATCAAAAAAAGCAAATAAAATCCTAAAAGTGTAGTAATTATTTTCAAAAGAGGGGAAAATAAACTGATGGTGAATGTTACCCAACCTTCCAGGTATGCCGGCCCCTGCAGTCAGAAAGCAGACTTCATCTACAGGGTGAGCTGGTCCACCTACCTGGCCAGCACTGAGAAAATCATCGTCGCCAGCTTTGACGGAAGAGGAAGCGGTTACCAGGGCGACAAGTTAATGCATGCAATCTACAAACGTCTGGGAACCTATGAGGTGGAAGATCAGATAACAGCAGCCAGGTAAGGAAAGCGAGAAAGCAGTTTGGACAAGTCAGTGCATCTCCCACTCAAACAAACAGCTTCGCCTACTCCGTTTCCCAGGAAAAGCTTGATAAAACTGGATTCGACTTGTTTCTGTGGTTGGAATGCTCCCAGGTGTACACAGACAGGAAATGTCACGAGCATCACCGAGTGACAATGTTGATCTCTTGTCCAGTTTACATACCTTGAATTTACTATTTTCAACTGAGATCTTCTTCTTCTGTTTTTTTATATTGTAGGGAATTCATTAAAATGGGCTACGTTGACAAAGACAGAATTGCTATTTGGGGCTGGGTAAGTTGTTAAAGATGCATGTGGTATTCCAGAGCTCAGAGGGCAATAAATGGCTCTGAAAATAAGTTAATGTTTGACCCTCCTGTCCGTGTGATTTGTCTTTACTTAAAGGGGTTAAAATGCTTTTCAGTAATGAGCTGTTTCTCTTTCACAGTCTTACGGTGGGTATGTGACGTCAATGGCATTGGGATCTGGAAGTGGAGTTTTTAAATGTGGAATGGCGGTCGCTCCAGTCTCCAAATGGGACTATTATGGTATTTTTTTCAGTCTTTTTAAGCAAGCAATGTTAATAACCTTTTTACAGGTGTTTTTAAAGACACACAATATCTTCAAATATATCTGCCTGTTCCAGATTCAATCTACACAGAGCGTTACATGCTGGAGCCCTCACAGAATTCAAAATTCTACGCTGTAAGTTTCACACTGATCAGAATAAAGTCTCATCTCTTGTATCTCGTTATTAGTTTTATTATTATTGTCTGTGTTCACCAATAAACTAAATGATCTGGTTGTTTGCAGAACTCAACAGTAACTGGCAGGGCCAAGAATTTCCATTCAGTGCAGTATCTTCTGGTTCATGGAACAGCTGACGGTGAGTTATGCAGGGCCTTTATTTATTAATTTGATATTTTTCTGCATTTATATTTTATCCAGTAATTTCCCTCTGTGCCAACCCATTAACAAGCAACCCTGCTTTGTGCAGAAGCCTGAAAATGAGACTAAAACAGTTGTTCTTGAACCCTTTTATTCTGGATACGCCATAGAATCAGAGTTGGTCTAATTGATACCGAATCAGGTCAAACGTGGTTTACATTTTTCTTTTATTCATCTAAATTGTGTGTCATGGTTGAGTGAGGATTCAACCAGATGCTGCCTTAAAAGGGTAACAGACCCCATCATATGGCTATAATCTCTCTCATTGTGTAGCTGTCCTGCCAGGCTAGCTGTTTCCACTTTTCGATAATCTCACTGTCAACTGCTTCATATTTACCATACAAACATGAGAATGGTATCTGTTCTTCCCATCTAACTCTCAGCTAGAAGACAAATAAGTGTGTGCTTTAAATCTCAACAAAGACACTCGCAGTGTCAGAGAAATATTTATGATATTTTTGACCTATTGACCTTTTTTAGTCTGGCTTCACCATCAGATCAAGACTTTGTGTCTGTGGTATTTAGGAAAAATAATGGTTCAAATTGTGTTTAACCTTCAGGCCAAAATAAGCAGATTGCATTAAAAGAAATGGAATTATTTTGTCGTTTTCCAGACAATGTGCATTTCCAGCAGGCAGCTGAGATCTCTGAAGCTCTGGTGGATGAGCAGGTGGACTTTGAGGCGATGGTGAGTTATCCAAAGTGAAATCACTGGAAGACTTCATGCTTTAAGAATTTATATCTAGAAGTTATTATACAGAGAAAAGATTAGATCTCACTGGAGAGATGTGTAAACAAATCCACCCTGTGTTGAATATTGTGGCTTAGTGTCCGTAAATATTAATAAATTTTTTTGACTTCTTCCCTCAGTGGTACACAGACAAGGATCATGGGCTCGGCGGGGCGGCCTATCCACACGTCTACACCCACATGACTCACTTCCTCCAGAGGTGCTTTGCATGAAGTCCCCTGGATCACCAAGATCTCTTTTCACTGCCTCATGGGAATGCAAGAAAAATCAATTTCTGGGGATAAAGATTTCAATTGTAAATGCAGGTTTGATTATTAGTGCTCCAAATATCAGGAAAATGTCTTTAATGTCATTCTTTGTCTGTGAAGTGTTGACTTGCATATATTCAGTCAGAAAAAACTACTTCTCTGGAAATTATAACAATTTTACTTGTAAGATGTCTACATTAAAAATGGGTCATTACTTGACATCGATGTAGTAATGTGAATATTGAAAATGATCCGTCAAACTGTAACTGTACTACTTGGACATTTAGAGTTTTTACAATATTGTATTAAATCATGCACAGAAATATAATGTGCCACTGTGATTTTATACAGTTTTAGTAAATTTATGAGATTGTTTGATGTTTTGTAAAATAATAAATAAATGAGTAATAACTGTTTTAAGGGGATAATATGATTATGGCCTTTATTGTTGAGTTTTCTGACATAACTAACACTGCTAACATCAGTATGCTACCACACCCACAATATATATATTTTTAGCATCCACACCATCTGTGTTTGATAATTAGTAATAAAAGTGTTGGCAGGAATTTGGTGGGAGAAAAAGTAGCAAAATAACCAAATTGTTGGACAAAATACAAGAAGATATTACACTTCATGCTGAGAGAAACATGAATCTCTGTATCCAGTTTAATAGTAATCCATCAGTAGAGGGTGACATTTCAATCAAAACCTTTAAATTAACCTCATGGTAGCACTACAGTAAAACTCAGGGATCACCAAAATCAATGGGATTTTTTGTGTGTGTGTGTGTGTGTGTGTGAAATGTCTTGATGACAATCAGATGAATTGCCATGAGATTTGGTACAGATATCCTTTAGGGCCTGAAGGATAATGATTCCCCTGACTTTTCAACTTGCAGGACCAGCAGGTCAGAGGTTTAATTTATCCAGTGAAATATGATGTCTCTGGTTTTGAGTAAAATATCCCAACAACTACTGGATGAATTGCCAGGAACAGGACCACCACATATTCATGTTCCCTTCAAAATAAAATTGCAATAACTCCGGTCATCCTTTAACCTTTCATCAGGTCAGATGCCTGTAAAACTACTTTCCCATCAGCATCAGCTGTACTTTGTGTTTAATGCTGTTTAACAAATGCTAATGCTAGTTAACACTCAACTAAGATGGTTAACATTGTAGAAATTATTTATAAAAAATCAGTATGTTTGCATTATCATAATATAAAGGGGCCGCTGCCAAAGCACAACCTCACAGAGTTTCTAGCATTGCTGTACACTCTAAAGGAAAAAGGTTCAATTATGTACTTTTCAACACATTAAAGGTCCAGTGTGTAACAACAGGATCTATTGGCAGAAATGGAATATAATCCATAAGTCGCCTCCCATGGAGTCTGCTAAACCAAACACTGACTGTAGATCGGGCCTTTGGCGTTGTAGTTTCTCCTACGCGCTTCACAGCCCGTTCTCATCCCCGGGTCGTCAGACTCCAGCAGTGTTCAGTTAGTTGCAATCAGCAACTTCACCATTAGATGCCACTAAATCCTACACACTGGTCCTTTAAATACATGGGGCCTGTATGTGAGAGTCATATAGCAATACATGTATTTATTTTAAAGAGCATCAATCTTTATTGAACAATGTCCCTCATAAAATGGAGATAACTTCCACTGATGCAAGAAAAAGAGTCAATATTTCCGATCTTTGAAATTTGATCGGAAAGAATCCACAAATACTGACTTACCTTCCAGATAGGTATCGCTTCCCATCATGATGACACAGTAGCACATTAAAGCATCTTCTCTACTTTCTGTTTAACAGGATGAGCTGCGGTTGTTTGATCTTAACACCTAAGTACCAGCTGGCATCACGCATGAATAGCATCTTTCCTTTCTGAACAAATGCTCGGCTTGTTGATTCGGCCGATGTGACGGGGCCCGTGTCTAATGGGTTGAGAGTAACAGGTTGACCTGGCAGAGTGGTAAAATTGGTCCACCTGGGCAGACCCATCCTCTTCCTCCTGTTACAGTATATAAGACCACAAAGTAAGAGACGAGGGCTAGACACAGACACCAGGAACAAGCAGAGGAACTAACAGCACCGTTCTTTGGAAGGAAAGAAGAAAAGGTGAGTTTTGATTTCTTGTAATGGTGAAACCACTTTACCTTTAGCTTTCTGATCCAATATGCAAACTTTTTCTCTCTATGTGTGTGTGTGTGTGTGTGTGTGTGTGTGTGTGTGTGTGTGCTGTTCAATGGTGTAGGTCATGACCATGAAAAGCATCCACTCCCTGGCTGGTATCCTCCTGGTCCTCGGCTTTGTCCAGAGCAGCTGGCAGGTTCCTCTGCTTGAGGCTGACGACAACTCAAGGTACAGAAATCTATTGAGATTGTCTTTACTTAAAGAACCATATGCTATGCTATTTCTAGTAATTTTGTATAAAAAGTATAAAAACATAATTCTCAGTCACCAAAAAACTGTTTAAATCTGACTGGTATAGGTGGGTCATTTTAGGTTAATTTCTAAACAGCAACAGTTATGAGATGAGTCTGAGAGTCAGCACAGTTTAATATGAGAAACATAAGACATGATTTACATGTATGAATCATATGAACACGTTCTCGTTGATCCATCATCAGCTAAGGATGAGATCTTTTTTTTAGACAACCTATGGATAATAAAAGCACAAAGTCATTTGAAGAACTTTTTTAAACATCTTGATATTTTTACATTCTGTCATTCACTTTCTCTGAAATAGTTAAATGCTGCAAATGTGAATAATCAAATTTCTAAATTATATGTATATATAGAATTTTTTTGATATATTTTATATAAAAAAGAACAAATTACACCTGTGCAAAAATTAGAGATTGAATTGAAAACTGTGGTGAAAACATGTTTGGAAGATACAGATGTTGCATTTTATCATCTCCAAACAAATATGACTTATCTTAAGTTTTGTGTGAAGAAATATATTAAAACTTTAGCCATATACAGTATTTTATGTTGGATTGATGTTAAAAGGGAAATAGAATGGGGATCTCTATGGATCCAAATTAAATTTATTTTATTTTATTTCCTGAAATAAAAACAGTACTTATTATACTTATTATATTATATAGCTAATGCTGTGGTACACATTTGTAGTTAAAAAAAGCCCTATCTATTTTACTAAATGGTTAAACAAAGTGCAAAAATTGTAATTGTCTCACTGTGTTCTCCTTCCTGTGCTGTAGTTTTGAGGCAGATGACACATTAGGGGATGAGGTGAGGGAGCTGTCGAACATGAAGAGACACTCGGAGGGAACTTTCTCAAACGACTACAGCAAATATCTGGAGGACAGGAAGGCACAGGACTTTGTTCGGTGGCTGATGAACAACAAGAGGAGCGGGTCAGTGTGGAATCCATTCAAAAACAATTATTATATATATAATTAGACTTGCTTGGCCCCATTTTTTTAACAATAAGAACAAAGGGACTTAACAACAGTCATATTTTAAGATTTGTTTTAAATGCTTATAGTCAGGTAGTTTAGTTCTATAACATACTGTAGGGCCCCTCCAAAGGGTCGCTAGATAAATCTGAGGGGTTGTGAGATGATTAATGGACACACACTTTTATCTGTGTGGAATATTGGATAATTTGACCTCTTTGGGCCTCAAATAGTTATTTAAATGAAACCAGCTGATGGGAAATGTGTCTTTGGTAGATCTAATAACAACTCATAGACATCTGAAACATGAAAAGGGGGCCCAGAAAGAGGAATCAGAAGCCAGCAAAATTGGAAACCACCAGTTTAATCTTCAAAAACCGCATAAAATGTGGCTTCAAATGTTAGATATATCACTCTGACATTAAACATTCATGATTAAATACATTATTTATTAAGAGTTTAACAGTCATTTAGATTTAATTGAGTTAAAATAAGTGATCAAAACAACCGATCAGATTTTGATCAAACCGCTTTAAACTAGTTAGAAAACCGACATAAAAAGAGAAATGTGAAAGAAGATAGTGTGTTCATGTAGGATCCTATTACAGTAAGAGGCTGATTGAAAATGTTTTCAGGGCCTTTAACGATGTATTTTATAAGCTTATCATGTTTTTTGTGTAAATCTTACAAAATGTTTCACTTGACACTTAAAAGCTTTTTAAAACTTTAAATTGATATGAAATATTTCAGTTATCCTCACTGAGTCTCGCTGTGTGTTTTCAGTGCTGCAGAAAAGCGCCACGCAGATGGGACTTTCACCAGCGACGTGAGCTCCTACCTCAAGGACCAGGCAATCAAAGACTTTGTTGCCAGGCTCAAGTCTGGACAAGTCAGAAGAGAGTAGGCTGTCCCTCCTTCCTTCTCCTCCTCCTACAGTACCAAAAACCTCTAACAGCCTGTCTACCTGTTTGTGATTCCACCATGACGAGAGAGACAGAAAGATCTTGAGACAAAGAGCTAATCAACTGCTTCTTGTGCCACCTTTTTTTTCTTTTCTTTCCTTTCCCCTCCCTCAATGTTCTTTGTGGTTGTGCTAAAATAAATCACCTGAACTTTTTGCACTGCGTTGATTGATATGTTACCAAAACTGTGTGATGATTGCGTGAGATGATTATATGACACAAAACATGCAAGCAGACAACCAACCAATCACGAAACAATCACAGCAACACAGCGTCTTCACTTATCAGAAGAAATAATGATCATGAAAGTGATGATTTTCTGATGAACACCGCGCTGCAGGTCAAATATTAGAGTTCAGATGGCACGTTATATCATGTGCCTGTGTACACACTCAGATCTGAAACGGACAGGCGGGGTGAAGCGTTCAGCAGGAGGCATGTAGATGGAAGCTTCACCAGTGACGTGAACAAGGTGCTGGACTCCATGGCTGCCAAGGAATATTTACTCTGGGTCATGACCTCCAAACAGTCAGGGGAGAGGTAAAACTGAGTGACATGGCTGATCTGATACATGCTAGAAATGCTAGGCGTGGTGTGATTGTGATTTTCTCTCTTTTGCAGTAAGAAAAGACAAGAGGACCAATGAGACACTTCCTCAAGGACTCCCTCTGGGTGCTGCACACAAAGCCATATAGGAGGAATAGAAAGCCATACCGCTTTGCATGTTGTAATGTCTTTTTTACTTACTACATGTGATGCAAAGATACAAAAGCTACCACTCTTCCATAGTTTTTATGGTGCACCAGAGAGAAGAAATGAAATTGAGGGCATATTTTTTCTACAAATTTAAATTATTTTCTATATTTTTAAGGCGAAAAACAACAACACAAAAAGTGAAATCTCAGGTAGGCCTATAGGAAAAAACACATGTAGTGTGTCGGTTTTCATTGCATAATATTAATCCGCTCTGCAAAATAAAGTTTTTCATTGTGTGTTTGTGGTATTATTTTGAGACAATAAATACAAATCAGATGGACATCAATGAACAGAAACGTGTGTGTCAATGTGTAATAATCTAATAAGTTAATCGTACAGAACACAAATATATTATTTTACCATCAAATCCCCACAACTGAGAAGCCTCAGGTGCTGCTCTCTAAACTGTAGGCTCAAAGGTTGCAAGGCCAGCTTCTTACAAGGAAAAGACAAATTTTAACTGTCCATTGTGAGTTTGACAATGTTACAGTTGTACTCTTTTAAGGAACATTCTCACTAAATAGTACAAAGTGTTAGAGACTCAAGAAGTTAAAATAAATTTGCGTAAGTGTCCCTTACCCAATATCTCTCTTTGTTAAAGGACTATGGAGCACTTTTGAGGTTTTGGGT